TGATAATTTGAAATAGGAAAAAAGGTCCAAAGACGAAGTAGTGAAGGGAGGGGAAGGGGAAAGGAAAAGAGGGAAAGGAAAAACTATGAGAAAAGAAAAAAAAATGGAAATGAAATCTATGTAAATAGGTAAGGGCAGAGAGGTTGAAGGGTGCACAGGTAATGGGGAAAAAAATAAGAACCAAGATAGATTATGTACAGGTACAAACACCCAATGATAAATGTAAATGAATTGTATACCTAAAATGTACCAATAAAATGTACCAATAAATTTAATTTAAAAAAAAACACAGCCACCAGATCAACTGCCACCATTATTCCAAAGTGTTCATGCAGTGTCCTCAGGCTGGAGGTGAGATGCCAGGGGAGGCAGGGACTGCCCATTACCCACTACACCCCAGCCAAGGCAGCATGCCTGCTGATGAAGTCTGCTACCCACCTGACCAGGGCAGGAAGACATCTACAAACCCCTGCCAGCACTCGATGACATCTCTTGTTCTTCACATCAGTTCTGTATGTTATGAACTGATGCTCTGTACATCAGTTGTCCTCTCCAGGCTCAGGTATATTTTCCTACCAGCCATCCAACACACATACTATAAAATCTCAGCCTAGCTGGAGCCCCAGACTTTGAAAGATCTTCCAAATGCAATGAAGCATTAACACCCTTAGACTTTTGGGGGTTCTTCTAAACTAATCTCAGTTTCATAGGTGTTTTAAAACATCAGACATTTTTCCTAGAGAAACCAAAATGCCTTTATTGGAAAGCCTGTCCCCCAAATCTGCAGCTATAATCCAAGCTGTTGTAAAACCTACCTTCCCCTCAGTAGGCACATTCACAACCACTTACAAAGAGACTGCTACCACATGAGGTGAGGTCTGTGGAGACCCCAATTCACATGTGAAAACAACTGGACAACGACCCTGCACGGCTCTCTGTGGCTTATAAGGACAGGCTGGCCTCTTGTTGTTCTTTGCCTCTCCTCCCTTCTTTCCGCTTGCTCCCGTGACCTCATCCAGTCTTAAGCTTGATATACCAGGTAGGTGGGTATAATTCCCTTAGAGGGATCTCAGCCCAGGCCTCTCCCCTAACCTCCAGACCCCTATTAAACTGCCCATGTGCCACCTCCACTTGTATCCAACAGGAAACTCAATTGTGACCCCTCTGGCCCCAAACCCTTGATGTTCTCCCTCATGTGATCCCCCTGCAGCATTCCCCCTCAGGATCTGGCAATTCCACCTTTTAGATGCTTAAGCCAAAACCCATGGACACCACACAGAGCCCAGAATAGAGAGCAGAAAGATAAAAGCCACCTAGGTCAGAGAGACCTGACACCACAGGGTTGAGGCTAGCCATGCCCCACCTCAACTTCTAGAGAGCCATCATTTACCCCAGTGAGCCAAGCCACTGTTCATGAGATAGCAGATCAAAACCAAAATCTGAGGTGGGCAGGGTGGCACTCTGAGGGGCTGAGGCAAGAGGATTACAAGTTCCAATTCCACCTGGGAAGTTTTTTCAGACCCTGTCACAAAATTAAAAAAATCAAAAGGGCTGGGAATGTAATTCAATGTAAAGGCCCTAGACTCATTCCCTGGTACCAAAAAGAAAAAAGCTTCCCATGGATACACATTACCCCACACATACAAACCAAATTTAGAATGTAACTCAAGAGAACCAAGTCACCCAGGCATGGAAAAGCTTCTCTCTCAAGCCACCCTGAATTGTCCTTTCACAATGGAAGACGGTCATCAGCCACAGCTGCCAGCAAGTGCTACCCTCCCTGCTGCCTCTGGTCACTCCGTCCTGGTCCCTCACCCCCACGAACCCACCTTGCCTCAGGTGGGGTGTCCTCAGCCACTCTGAGAGACAGCAACTATCTGCCCACCTGCAGGACTCCATGCCAAGCCCCATTTGGGATTTTATGAACATGATCAGTTGTTCATCCACGTCCATGGCCTCCACAACCCAGGGCTGCCACCGCATTTGGCCTTCCAGTGCTCAACATGTGCCCTACAAAGAGCAGGCGTCCATTAACTTCATATTCCCTGCACGACTGCTCACCCTTCCCTAGTCTTATTCTTTTTTTCTGTGTTCCAGTACATTCCCTGCTACAATAAAATGCTGACCAGTGAATTACAGGATTTAACTATTTTCTTCCCCCATGTTGTCTTTCAATGGCATCTGTGGCTCCGGCTTTACCATCTCTGTCTTCTGAGGTGGGCAAAGCAGTTCCACAACACATGGGTCCAAAAGGCCTTCTGTTGGGTCCCCACTGAAGTCCTCCACGCTGGTTCTGCCAGCTTGTGATGGTTGAGTGATTGTGTCAACCTGAGAAGTTTGGTTGAGAAGCTTAGCTACATCGGCTCAGCAATCCCATGCCATAGGGCATGGGAGAACCATCCTAGGCTCTGAGCCTGGATGTTAAAAAGGGGAAGTGTGGAAGGACACAGCTGCTTCTGTTCCTTCAGAGGAGCTCCCGTCTTCACCTTGGACGTCATTGCCTGCCTTCCAGAGAAAACTCTTCAGCCTTCAATCACAGACCCATGGGCCTCCTCATACAGACTCCCTACAGGACACTGCAGTGAGCTCCAGACCTTCAACTGAATCATTCAGTCTCCAGTCATACGATTCTGTGGGTGGCCATTGTGAGCCAATCTTGTAAATCCTTGTATATTTGTATATCTTATGTTACATTTGTTTTTCCAGTATACTAACTGATACACAGCTGGAAAGTCCTTGTCCCCATTAGACTGGCTGAGCACCTCAGGCCCCTGCAGCCAACATTACAGTGCCCACTACACACTTCTCCCTCCTATGCAGGCTCCTTGAGGTCCATAAAAACAGACATAAGAGGGTGGGAGGCCTGGCCATGCACACATAGGCCACAAGATGGACAGGAGTGGGGTGTGTGGGGAATTCCAGAAAACACCTCAGGGGGCTGACTTTAGTGAGAGGAAAAAGCAAGCACCAGCAATCACCACCTGTACCCCAACCAGTGCCTGAAGCCAGCACCCTGACCACTCCAGTCCTGTGCGGGCAACATCACCCAGGAGGTGGAAGGCTTGTGAACAAGATATATTTTATCTCATCTCATCATGCTACCAGTTTAGTAGGTAGATATGAGCATACTTCATTCTTCAGTATTAATTCAGTGTTACTAATTTGCTACTTGTTCAACTGATACCCTGATTTCCCTCTTTAGAATTTAATAATTAGGATCTAAGCACTGGAAAGAGATTTTAAATCTCTCGGCCTGTACTTACATTTTAGTGAAGATTTTATTTTGTTCACAACTGAAATAAAAACAGTATCTTCTTTGGCACTGGCCTGCTGCCTATCAGCCTGGCCCCCCAATTTCTAACGCTATGGATGTGAGCACTACTCCCGAGCCTCAGTTTCCTCATCTGCAAAAAGCAGATAAGCAGAATATTTACAGGGTACCTGGGAAATGTAATGAAATAAAAAATAAAGTATTTCAAACAGCAGTTGAGAAGGTAGCAAGAACTCAATCATGTTGGTTATTAGAAGTCATGGCTGTAGTTTTTCTCCTCCCTCTAGCATGGGAGGAGGGGTCTCACTAAGTTGCCCAGGCTGACCTCAAACCTCTAGGCTCAAGCAATCTTCTTGCCTTGGCCTCCTAAGTAGCTGGAACTAAAAGTTCCTGGTTTCTCTATTTCTTTTTTTTTTGGTACCGAGGATCGAACTCAGGATCTTGCGCTTGCGAGCCAGGCTGCAGAACCACTGAGCTAAATCTCCGGGCCTTCTCTATTTCTTATTTGTGAAAAAAATGTCTTCACTGGCACAGTATCTCTGAAGACCCACTGTATAAAGTGCTCTCTCCTCTACCTCCAGCCAAGGAAGGAAAGGGCAGGAGCTAGCACTTCCTGAGCACCACTTGCTATCACACTAAGGCCTTGGGTGGGGGCAGATATTACCAGGCCATTTTGAATATGGAAAAACAGGCTGAGGTGGGGTCCCAGGCAGCAGGAGGTGGAGGTGGAGGTGGAGGTAGACTTGGAATCCACCAGTGCATACCCAACTAACATGCTCCTGTACACCAAAATCTTTGCTTTTAAAATAACCTGCCACTGGGCTGGAGATTTAGCTTAGTGGCGCTGCTCCTACCTCAAAAGCGCAAGGTCCTGAGTTCAATCCCTGGTACTGCCAAAAAAAAAAAAAAAAGAAAGCCTACCACTTAATGAGTTCTAAGGAGAAACTTCTGAGGGGAAGAACAGAATAAGTCTGAAATTTCAATCAGCCAAATTGAATATATTACCAATAATTTCTTTAGCTACTCAAGAATTGATTAGGCTTCAAAAAAGCCATTATGTGAACACTCAAAGCCCAACAACCCACACACATCATAACAAGCAGCGTTTTAGGGTCTCAGGAAGTGTGAGTTCATGTGTATCCTTTCCAGGCCCCAAGCTCAGTGGCTCACACCTAGGAGCTGCCCAGGCCGAAAGGAACAAGGAAGCAGGTCAAGTGCCGGTCAGTACACCTGATCTCCACACAGGAAGTACTGGGCATGGCTCCAACCCAGCACCAGGCATTGCAGCCTGAGGGTCCAGAAGCCAGGCAGGGAGCCCTCTCCACTATAGCCCTACAGATAACCTGGAGCGCACCACTATGCCTCTAGGACTTCAGATTCTTGAACTGTTACACCCACAAAGCATGAACCCCACTGTCTGTGGCCGATGTGAGGAAGAATCCTTTATCTTGTGTGGCTGTAGAGGGTAGTGATCAAGAGGCTAGGAGCATAGGCCCTGGAGCCCAACCACCTGGGTTCCTCAGCTGAGATTTACAGCTTGACCCTGAGAAACTCACTGGACTCCTCTGCACCTCAGTTTCCTCATCTGTAAAATGGGGATAAGCATGCGACAGTGAGGATTTCGTGAAATGATGTAAAATGACACAACAGTACTTAGTGCATAGTTAAATCTCAAGCAGTTCTCTTTTCTTTCTGGAGATCATTTTGGTTCAGAAATATATGAATATGAATATATAAATATAGAGGTATGACCAAAGAGAGTGAATGTTTAAGTAAAAATTTTAAAAATTTATTACAGTAAAAGACACATCACCAGTAGCCATCCTTATCCCACACTTAACCCATCATTCTTGTCTCTTTCTGGAGCAGTTCTCAAAGTCCTCTTTCATGTCTTTTCATGACTGCCTTGATGTCCTGAATCAATTCAGAACATTTACAGCAATTTCTGTCAAATAAAAACATTATGATATGTCTTCATCTACCTTATAAACCAGATCTCCCATGATGCAACTTCTGGCTCTTCCCAAAAACCAAAATGACCATGAAAGATAAACATTTTGAATCAATGCAGTATATCACGGCAGCCACAACACTGCTCACAAAAAAAAAGACTCCCAGAACTGCTTCAGAAAGTGGCAAGAATGATGGGACAAATGTGTTTGAAGTAAGGGGAGGTATCTGAGAGGGATTAATGGCACGTCTTTTACTGTCATAAAACTTTTAAATGTAAGCATTCACGTACTTTGTGAAAAAATATACATATAGATATATACAGATAGGTAGATAGATATATTCTATGAGATGCAATCCTAAGTAATCTAATAATCCTAAACAAGATTGCAGGAACAGACTACTGACCCAAGCCTGATGGCCTCTCAGGCACCCAGGGGGCCCTGAAGCCACAGTAGGCTCCACCATGATTAATTTGTTGCTAGCAAAAAAGTGGTCTAATATACTTCTGCACAAAAATGCCCCAGAATAAGAGATGTGTAAATGCACTTAAAAAATGACTTGCAGTGCCAAGCAAGAGACACACAACGCCAACCTACTGACATCTGCAGAGAAATGCCATAGCAAGACCAAAGTAACCAATGAATATGAGAGTCTCAGCTGCAATGGGCCCCATAGCTCAAACAAGAAGCCAATGTGACAACTATTCAAGATTGTGCCCCACACCGGGCCGAAGTTCTGGCATCTCTCCTATTCCTGGCAGTATCACAGAAGGGATGGAGGTGGCAGAAAACTCCAGGCTAACGCTGTAAGAACTGGGCACACTTTCTTCTGGCTGGTTTTGATGACAATCTCTCCTGCCTTTCCAAAAAGCATAGGCTGGGCCAAATGTGACCAGGGAGGACACCAGGGCCAAATGTGACCAGGGAGGACACCAGGCCAGCATCTGCAGCTGCTGAGTGGGGGGCCAGGCTGTTATGCTCCTCCAGGCAGCCCTCTTCCCTCTTACTCCTTCCTTCCCCAAGCTGTCCTTTCCGCTCTATCCCTTCTTCCCTCCAAGATCACCCTCACCCTACCACGCACTAAAATCCAGGACACGATTCAGATGTTCAGGCTTGACAAATGTCAAGTAAGGTTTTATTTGCTGCCAAAACCTTTCTGCAACTCTCAGATCGTGCCATTCTGAACCCTGGTGGCTATCTGACATCCAGATATCCACACCCCATCGCCCCGCCCCCTTGCCGGACAGAACCAGAGGGAGGGTGCCCAGGGATAGCCACACTGTGGGTAACAAGTCCTTCATTTACGCTTTGGGCTGCGGTTCCTCCCCAAGACCTTTCCTCAGTCGTGGCTTCCCTTCCACTTAGTGCCCTGTCCTATAACAGACAGTGCTTAAGCAGCAGCCCCAGTTGCAGTTCAGGCCAAGGCCCAAGTCCCGAACACACTGTTTCGCACAGGAAGGGAACTAAGGACAGGAATCTCACTGCTGTGCAGATGGAAAAGGTCGTCTGTGAGGACCCCTGAAGTATGCAGCAGGTGCCACTCCACAGGGTCACAACCCCCCAAGGCATGGTCCCCTCAGAGTTCCCTAAGGTAACAAGAAACGCACCAGAAGGCTGTCCTTGGAGTTATCTCGACCACCTGGCTTTTAAATAAAAGAAAGATCTTTAAAATATCCACTTGGTCTGACATTTTATTCGAGTTAGCGCTCCATCATGACAAGTGACCAAAGCCAAACGTCTAAGGAAGCAGAATCGGGGAAAAGTGTCCTTCTATTACAGGCGCTTGAACTGAAGCAACCCCCACCCCGTACCATTTTTCTGTCTCCAAAAGTCCAAAGCTACCTGAGTCGCACACAGACCTGCCGGTGCCCGCCCCACAAACCGAAAATTCGGGCTCTCCTGCTCAGGACAAACCCCCTGTAACTGCACTTGGCGGGACCCCGCCTTTTAATCTCTTTTCCGAACGGCCCCTGAGGGACACCCGGGTGACGCTGCAGCGTCCAAAGGCTGCTTTGGGGACAGCGTCCATGGGGTCCCCGGACAGGTTTTTCCTCATTAAAGCCTCTGCACTTCAGAGGTACTCGAGCCCAAAGTCAGCAGATAGCACAACTCATAAAACTCAGCATCCCAGAAATCCACCGAGGCTGTGACGGCCCCGCAAGTCCACGTCACCAGGCGCCACCGGCCCGGCCCGGCCCGGCCCGGCCCGGCCGGCCTGGCCTCGACTGCAGGTCCAACCTCAGCGGGCGCCACCATCTCGGCTCGCCGGGACAGGCCCCCGGCAGCCACCCCGAGCAATCCCTCCATCGGCTTGTCCTCGGCTTGCGGGGACAGGCCCACCACCAGCCAGCCCTCTGGTCAGGGGACCCCGACTCTGCCGGCCTAGCACTCACGGTTCCATCTCGGCGGCCCGGCCCCGGCCCGGCCCCGGCCCGGCCACTGCGCGTCCCAAAGCTGCAGTGGCAGCCGGAGCCGGAGCAACGGGCCACGGAAAACGCGGCCGAGCGCGACGCGCGGTCACGTGCGCGGAAGCGGCGGTGGGCGGGCTGCTGCGGGCCGGGCGGGGATAGGGTGGGGATAGGGCGGGGCCGCCCCTCTCGGGAAGGCTTCTCCGGGAAGGCCAACGTGGGCGCTCGCTAGCTCTCTCCCAGCGCAGAGGCAGGGCGAGGGGACAACAAAGGGGCAGGAACTCCGGAAGGCGCACCATCTTTAGAGATCACTCACCACCTTAGTCTGGAAGTCGCTACACGGACAGGTTTGCTTCCTCTCTTTTCCTCCTCTCCAAAGGTGAGATGATTGTGCACAGAACTTTCAGAATCACTTTCAAGTTTGGTGCTGCGCTAAGGCATGGACTCATTATCTCATTGTGTCTCCCCAGCAATCATTAAAAACAAATGCCCTCATTTCAAGGGCACTTGCTGGTTTCTCTACTAGCCCTGGCTCTACTGGTGCCTGCAGTTGGGGAGTTAGTCTCCCGGGTACTGGTGCCCTTATCTGCCCTGCCTTGGTAGTGTAGGAGCTTTTAAGCATCAGCCCCGACCTGTAAGACTGAAACAGATTTTATTTTATTCCCAGTGTTTAAGCAGTGCCATTCCACCACCATTCCCAGTGAGGTCACTCTACCAGCTCTTATTTGTCCTTCTCTTTCCAGGACCTGTCACCCAGCCTAATACAGAAAGACACCCAGCATATGTGTATTGAACAGATGAGTCAGTTGGATGTGTTGGGGGACTAGCAGTGTACCAGCTTATTTTCTAATAGTTTAAAGAATGCAGAACACTTGCCCATGGAGTCAGAAGGAAGAGAGTGACAAGGACCAGTATAATCTCCAGGTGAGAGGTGGGGAGTGCTCCTGCCTTTTGACTAGGGTGAGCAGCTGATGCTGGATTGCTTAGACTTTCCTGGTTCATATTAGCGCTGAAAGTCCAAGTCCAGGCAAATCCAGGAAAGTCCCTTAGTCCCAGGCAAACCGGGACAGTCGGTGACCCTACTTCTGGCCTATGTTTTTTCTGAGTTGCTGAGGAAAACTGTCTTAACATTTAAAGAATATCTTATCTTGGTTCCTTTGAAATGAGAACCTGAGAAAGTAGTGCTTTGTAAACTTTGTTGGAACAGATACAATGTCAGGGAAAGGAAGAGAGAATAAAATAAGGCAGGCTTCAAAGGAGCACTTTTAAGTGGGAGCAAGTTGGACAAAGCTTCAGGGCACACAGCTGGTTGCTTCCTCTTGCAGGGGAGTGCCAAAGAAATGGACAGAAACTACTGTGTGCAGAAACAAGCTGTTGGCTCTGTGCTGTCACCTCTCTCATGGGTCAGTCTGACCTACACATCCAGCTGACTTTACATGACCCCTGCAAGAAGCCACTGGGAGCCAGTGCCTGAGGGTACCAGTCTAGCCAGTATGAGTAAACAAGCCTCTCCCCTGTAAGCCAGCACCCAGGGGCTCCTTGGTCCAGGGGTCTGAAGGGCAGTGTCCAGCACTGCAGCTGCCTCTGTAGAACCCCAGCTGACCTCCTCCAGAAGATGCCATTCTAGCAGGGTGAGGTGACACACACCTGTAATCCCAGCACCTGGGTGGCTGAGGTAGGAAGGATTTTGCAAGTTTGAGGCCAGGTGCTACACAGTGAGTTCAAGACCAGCCTAAAATACATAGTGAGACCCTGTTTGAACCCCCCTCCCAAATTAGATGCCAATCTCGAACTCCTGGACTGTCTTCTCGAGTCAGGAGGCTTGCTTGTCTTTGCCAGGACTTTCAAGGACTCTTTGTTGGCCTGAATCCTACAGTGGAGGCTCTCTTCACCCAAGAGCATGGGGTGACACACCAGGAACAATGCCACAGTCATACTTGATGGATAAATTGAGACATAAGTGTCTTTATGGAGAAGCAAAACTCCAGCTGGGCATGGAGGTGCATACCTGTAATCCCAGCACTCAGGAGGCTGAGGCAGGGAGATTGCAAGTTGAACCCCAGCCTGGGCAACTCAGTGACTTATTGAGACCCTGTCTCATTTAAAAAAAAAAAAAAAAGATACATGGAGATGTAGCTCAGTGAAAATGCCTGGATCAATCCCCAGTACTGAGAAAAAACAAGCAAAACTCCATCTTCAAGTCCTGATGCGGCTTGAGGTAGAACACAACAGGTGTTGCTGGATGTGCTGCCCTGAGAGCAAATACAGCTCTTTGCTGGTGCATAGGTGGATGGCTGGATGAGAAGAATGGCGAGAGCACAGCTGTCCCCGCCACAGCATTCTTGCCAAGTTCTGCTTGGCCCTTCCTTTCCTAAGAGACAGAGAAGCAGGACCGTGCCCCACTGCCCATGGACCCACACACCCCAGATACAGGGCTCACTGGAGCCGAGTGTGATTATGTGTATGCCCATGCACCCCTTCCCTTCTGAGCTAATTAACACTTGGCTCCAGCCATCTCCTACATAACAAACCAAGTGCTGCCTAACTGGAGTCACCATTTGCTGCAAACTGAGGTAGGCCGGGCTGGGCACATAGTGGGTCTGTTCAGCTTTGAGGCCCAGGGTCTCAATGGAAGCCTTTGCTTTGGTCTCGAATGTGCAGAACAAGGGGCTTTGTTCTAATTTCCTAGGTCTGGCTTCAGTGGTATGACTCAAGTAAATACAGGACAGGGAGGAAGAGCCACATGCAGGAACGCTGGGTAGAAAGGTCCACAGTTGAGCATGACAGTGCCCGGGGTTAGGGCAAACCCAAAAGCGTGGTGGAGAGGGCTTTCAGACAGTGAGCCTGGCCTTGCAGTGGTAGCAGCACAGACACCCACCTTCACCCAGGGCCTAAGGCAGTGGCTTCCTCAAATCCAGCTCCCTGGTGCCTTTTCCTCCTAGAGTAGTCGCATGCTGTATTATAAATTACTTCTTTTTCATTGCTCATTTAGACTACAATTAGGGTAACTTATTTTTTAAAGTTACAGAGGCATGTATGGTATCTCAGGAATTCCATTTTAGGATTTAAAAGTAAGTGCTAGAAATAGTCCTTATTTTAAAAAGAGCTTGGCAGGGAGTGGGGGGATCTCCTTTGAGAGCCAGGACCCTAGGACAATGGGGCCAGCTTGGCTCAGAGCTGTCTACTGAGGGTGGAGGACAAACCTATGCCAATAAGAAGAGTAAGAGAATGAGCAAGAAGGAGAAAGGGGAAACCAGGACTCCAGCCAGAGAAGTTCGGAGCTGTGCCCCAGGAATGCATGGGAGCGAATGACGCTGAAGATGAAGAAACCCGGGGCCCTGTCCCCTTTCTGCACTGCTTAGCTGGCTTTCAGATGCCTTCTCCCCACACCCCGGCCTGCACACACCTTCTCAGAGCAGACTGCTCACCAGCCTGGCATACCGTGCAGTCACCCCTTGAAGCCTGTCACTTCCAGGCTATTTCCCTCCTTTAGGGTAACCAACAACCCTGATTTCTCTGGGACTGGCAGGTTTTTAGCACACTGGACTTTTAGTGGTAAAGCAGGGTGAGTTGGTCACTCCCCCTCTGGCCTTTCATCTCCAAGGCCAGCAGGTTTCCTCTGCCAGCTAGAGGGCTGGGCAGAGCCCTTCTGCACCCCAACTACTCGAGCCCTTCCCCAATGGGCACCTCAGAAGCCTCAGGCTGCTCAGGCAATAAGGTCCAGGTTTCAGACACTTGTGCTGGGAAGACAGGGCAGAGGGCAGAGATGAGTCACCCCCTTCAGACTCAAAATTCTATGAGCATCTGCCCTCTGGGTTTTAGAACCAGGAGGGACTTGAGATCATTCTATGAGATGTGCAGATCAATCTCCAGGAAGTGTAATGACTGATCCCAGCCAGAGCCCACCAATCCTCCTGTCTTGGTCAGCAAACTTCCAGCTGCTACGTTAGGCAATGTTAGTGGACAGGAGCCTCAACCCACAGCCCAGTGTCAACACGGGACCTGGTCTCTTCCAGAAAAGCTTGCTATGGTTGAACTGCATCCCTAAAAAGATATTGAAGTCTGAACCACCAGTGCCTATGGAATGTGGCCTTGTTTGGAAATAGGGTCTTTGTAGGTAATCAAATTGAGATGAAGGTTCTAATTCAAAGTGATGGTGTTCTTATAAAAGGGGAAACTGGGATGCAAAAAGACACCCGTGGAAGGTATATAATGAGAAGACATGGGAAGAAGGTGGTCATCTACCAACCAAGGAACATCGGAGGCAACCAGAAGCCAGGAGAGAGGCCTGGAACAGATTATCCCTCACCACCTTCACAGGGAACCTCCCTGTGTTTCTGCCAACCACCCCACCAACTCCTGGATTTCAGACTTCCAGCCTTCAGAACTGTGAAAGAGTAAGTCGTTTAAGCCCTGGTTCGTGGCACTTTCTTACAGTGGCCCTAGCACACTACTGCAGAGCCCCAGCCTTCACATTTCCAGGGTGTGGCATGCTGCAAGCTTCAGGCCCAAGCCCCCACCTCCAGGTCTAGCCCCATCTGGCAAATGATGCTCTTTCAGTTGCTAGAGCTGAGTCAGCACTGTAGCTGGATGAGGACCAGGGCCCCAGGAGGGCAGGTAGGGGTGCTTCCACCCACTCTGCTCTCCAGGAAATCAGAATCTCATTTTCCCTTTCTGTCTGGTACAAGATATAGGAAAGGGGGAGGGGAGGGAGGAAAGGAGAGAGGGATGGAGAGAGGGAGGGAAGGAAAATGGAAGGCAAGAAAGAAAGACAAAGAGAAGGGGGGGAAGAAAAAGAAAAGAGAGGGAGAGAAAGAGAAAAAGATAAGAAAAGAAGAAAGAAATTTCTGCCTGGGCAATAGCTTTGCTCATTCTAGGGTACATGGCAAAAATAAGAAAGCTTGGATGAACCACCAAGAAGAGATCTGATAAGTGTGTAGCACTTCCAGGGCTGACATTCCGGGTGTGGTACAAATGTGGGTGGCCAGGATGTGCCCTAAGCACAACATTGTGCAACTTGGAAGCACTAAATAACAAATGGAAGAAAGCACTGTGGTGTAGATCAAGTGGGCACTGTGCACCCGAGAAGGCTCCACTTCCCTGAGGAAGTGTTTCGGCCTGGACCTAATTATACCTTCCTCCTGCCTCAGTGACGTGGGGCAGGGTAGAAAGCTGGTCAGCAACGAAGTCTTGGCTGAGATAGCAAAAAGAGGTATGGTTCCTGCACATGCATGCCAAAAGGGCAAGGGCACACACTGCCTCTCAGGCCAGGGATTGCAGAAGTACTCAAAGTACCTTACAGAAACCTGTGATCTCTAGAAAGGAATTATCTGTCCAATATTCCAAAAGGGGGTGGACTTCTGGGGGAGCAGCTCAATGGTGAAGCACTTGCCGAGCATGCACAAGGCCCTGAGTTTGATCCCAGCACCAAAACAAAAAGGAGATGCTCAGCTCTACAGCTAAGAAAGTTCCCTATGTGCTTGGAAGAGCACTAGGATAAGGGTAAGTGCTGGAGTGACCAGGGTTACCAGGGTTGTCAGGGTTGCCGGAGTTGTGGGGCTGACACTGCTGTTAGCAACCTGCATCCTGAGAGGCACACTTGGGCCTCCCCAGGTCAGCCAGGATCTGGGTGATACAAGCAGAGCAGTGAACAACGGGTGGTTGCCAGACGGCCTCCCTCTGAGTATTAGTTTTTAACTAGCATTTCCCTGTTTCCTGAGGTGGGCGTCTCTGCATATTAATGGTCTTTAGGTTCCTCATTGCTACCCCTGCTATCCTGGTGCTTTGTGGTGTTGGTGTTGGTGGTGGAAGACCTCTAAATAATGGTTCTAAATAATGGTTCCTTACACAGTAGAGATACTGGAAATGCCCCTTTCCTCATGCTGCAGGGCAGGCAAGGCTGTCTGCTGCAAGCTGTCCCTCCACAACCTCCAAGAGCACAGGTGCCACCCAGCTCTTCCCCACAGTAAGCAACCAACCAACAGGGAGGTGAAACTCTGGTGGGGACTTGAAAGCTTCAATCCCACCTGAGTTTTCTATTTTCTAGAATCTAACTGAGAAACACCCAAATGTCTCTGAATCTCACCTGTCATCAGACACTACCCTTTGGACAAAGCAGGTCTGGGTGCCCTGACCAGTGTCCCTGGGGTACTCAGGCTCCAACTCCATGTCCAGCCTCTGAGAACCTCTGCCCACCCATCCTTTTGGCCTAGACACCCACCAGACAGATGAGGCTGCTAGTGTCTAGTTCACATATTATGACTTTCCTCAGTTCATGCACTAATCACCCAGGCAGGAAAGAAAGTCATTCTGTAACATGCATGACCTGCAGTTCACAGCAGTAGCCCCAAGGACTGTTCCACAGTGTTTAATGGTGCTGTCTGCTCTAAGCAAACAAAGGGTCCATTTGTTTGTTTGTTTGTTTGTTTGTTTTTTGAGACCAGGGTCTCACTATGTAACTCAGGCCAGTCTCACTATGTAGCCCAGGAGGGCCTTAAACTAGCAGCGATCCTCCTGCCTCAGCCTCCCAAGTGCTGGCATTACAGGCGTGCACCACCACGTCCAGCTAGGGTCCGTTTTAACTCAGATAGTAAGAGGAGACCCTGACAGAGAGGCTCTGAAACCAAACAGAAGATAAAGAGGTGAAGAACCAGAGGCCAGGCATGGTGGTACACGCCTATAATCCCAGGACTCTGGGAGGCTGAGGCAGGAGTGTCATTATGTTCAAGCCCAAACCCACACTTGGCTTTTGCACCCACCTATTTTGGACTCTTGTCTCAAGATAAAATAACAATAAAGGGTTAGGGGTGTAGCTCAGTGTGAAGGCCCTGGGTTCAACCCCCAGTACTGAAGGAGGAAAAGAAGTTCTAAAAGAGGGTCCCATCGCAGGGTCAAATCCTTCAGGACCACACAGGGTGAGAATAAAGGAGCTTATGTTTAGAAGGTCACTAGTGACCAAGCAGGAGCATGACTTTTACGACCAGTTTGATGATTCCAGGATGATAGGAAGAGGCAGGACGGGGAGGAGCATGCCGCCATGAGCTTTCTTGGGTATGTTCAGACAGGGCCCCAAGGAGAAGAGCCTCCCAGCAGGAGACTCTGCAGTGCCAAGGGGAAACTTCCCAGGGAGAGAGGAATGGGTGGGGGGGGGCTTATGGTTTGGGTGACACACTCAGCAACAAAGAGGGGAGTCTCCCAGACAGGGCAGTAGCAATCTGGGGTTTGCTTGGCAGATGTTGGCACAGTTTCATGGACTATGCAAATAAGCAGGTCCTACATGGCCAAATATATGTTTATTTGGGGGTCTATGTAAAGCAACTAGATGTGTAAGAATTTGAGTTGGGCACTCCTGGGCTTTGAGCTAATGATCCTGTAACTGAGTAAAGGTCCAATTCTGCTGCCACTAGATAAAGCCAACAACTGGAGAGACAGAGTGACGGGAAGAGAAAGAGCTTTATTAATAACAAGCCAGCTTGGAAGATGGGGTCAAACACCCTTAGTGACCATCCTGGCACCTACCCTAAGCTTGAACCTTTGATGTGACTTTTGCAAGGGGAGGGGTACAGGTCCCAGACAGGTAGACACCAGCACTGTTTATTCATCTTGCTTTGGAGCTCAGTGAGCACCCTGAGTTCCCTGACCATGTGAATCTAAATACACCTGCCTGTTCTGAACCCTGTCTCATAAAATAACGATAAACAATAAAATAAATTCTGTTGATCAGTTTCTGATTTTTGTTATGGTCCATTCCTGCTGTGTTCTTCTGACCGTTGGCATTCCAGGTGTGACCTTGCCCACAGCCAGGGGGCTAGGAGTGTTCAGAAAGAAAAAGTGTCCCATATTCCTAGCTGGCCTTGGTGTGCAGTTTAATCGGGCAAGCAGACAGAAAAGAAAATCTGTCTCAGAGAGAGAATTTCACTTGTGCCAGGAAAATTTTTCTTTACCCCATTAGGTACCTTCCATCCTAACCTGCTGGGAAGAAGAAAAGAATATGGGAGCCAATGTGAAGGGACCAGTTTAACCTAATGATGACAACATGGTAGTGGAGCAGCCAGATTTCCAGATGTTGAAGACAGCATGTTTGCTCTCCAGTGTGGCTGGGCTGAGAGAATTCTATGTGGACAAAAAGTTATAAGCATATGGGAAGAAGTCAGAGGTGGAAGAAGACTGAGACATAACGGAAAGGGGAACAATTGATAGAGGACAGCCCCTGGGTGGTGAAGGGGAGCTGTAAGACATGGGCATGAGTGGAACATAACCCACCCCGAAGTCTACCACTGGGCCCTCATACATGTATCTGCTCAGGCCCTAGGTCCACAGCCCTTCCAAGTCCTATGTGACAGCGCCTTTCTCTGTTTCTCAGCCAGATTTGCACATAACTCGTAACTCCTCAAGCACTTAAAGATAAGCACGTGCCAAGGCATGGTGGTGCACATCTGTAATCCCAGCACTCCAGGAGGCTGAAGTAGGAAGACCACAAGTTCAAATCCAGCCCAGGCAACTTAGTAAGACTCTATTTCAAAATTAAAAATTAACAAGGGCTGGGATATAGCTCATTGAGAAGGTCCTGGGTTCAGTACCACACACATACACACACACACACATACACACACACACGCACACGCACACAAGCATTAAACGAAGGAAATTATCTTTCTATCTTTGAAATAGTGGGGATAGAAAAATCAGTCTTATCAGGGATACTTAATGTCTCTTCTTGTCAAAGAAGAAACAAAAGACAGTTATTAATCACTATGGCGAAGTATCATCAGTAACTTGAATCCTCTGAAATGTTTACACAAGTAGACAAGTCAGGCAGTGGGGAAAGACTTGGGTCTACCTTAAATAGAAACACTCTTCTCTGACCTTAAACTTGACTGTCAACTGCCCACATGTATTAATCCAAAGAGGGAGGCTGGCCAGCTTGGAAATGTGCAGAGGGGAACCAGCCAAGGTCATTATTAACAGTGGCCACTGAGCTTTGAGTCATGAGCCAAGGCTTTTGCCTGCCAATATTCTATCCTATTGGCAAGTCGTCAAGGGAGGAAATGGGTGCGGGCTCCCTTCGCCCTGCTGCCCCAAGTCACTCCACTCACCTTCGGGGTTCCCCATCCTGGTCGAAATCCAGTCTAGGCCAATTAAAGAAGAATCCATGAGGACAGACCCCAGGCAGCTACCCACCACCACCACCCAGGTGCTTCTGATGTGCAGCCAGCAATACCTTGATTGACAAATCCCATGCCCACCATTAACAGTTTTCACATGAGCTACATCAGCCAGGAAATGAGGCAGCATTCTGGACATTCCTTCAAAGCTTGGTCACTGTGAAGCCTCTGCTAAAACAGCTTCTCCCTTCTGTGTGCTGCTGCCAGCAAGATGGAGGGCCAGCCCCAGGCCCCGATGAGGTCACCAAAGTGAAGAAATGTTGCTTCCAGAAATCTCTTGGGTGGGGATGTGGCTGGGCATCCTTTCTGTGGCCACTTCATTACTCTAGTGTTTTATAGAAGAAAATAAATCAGAGAAGCAATATGCAGATTAGCAGAATGGTGAACCACAGATTTTTGAGGTCAGAACTCTAAAGGAACATGGCTATCACCTTCAGGGCCCTTGAACCCTTCAGAGTTTAAGCCAGGGGCTGGCTGGCTGCCTGATGGGCATGCATTTCCTCATTTTCCTCCTGATAGAACCCTATGTGCTCTTGATATCCAGTCCTTCCTCCCTTGAAGACCTAGACCTTAGGGAAAATGGGCTCCACCTCTGGTTCTTGGGGTGCTCTGCTGTCCCTCCATCTACTTCTATCCTCTCACCAGTATGTGCTCAGGAGAGGGCAAGCAGCCTTGTTTCCATCATGACATGAGCTGGTTTTCTTTGAAGCTTTCTATTGGAGTGCAGTGTACAAACACAGAAATATGTACAAGCCCTGTATCCAGCTGGTTACATATTTACCAACTAGATACATCTGTATAACCAGCACCCAAACCCAGAAGCAGAACATTACCAGCACCTTCTGCCCCTCCCAGTCCTGTCCCTTTAAGGTAATCTCATCCTGACCTCCAATCGTGTGGAGTCATTTTGCCTGTTTTATTCTTTTTATAGAAAGAGAATCTAAATGTACGTACTCTTTGTCTGGCTTCTTTTGCTCAACATTTTGTGAGCTTCTTGATTGTTGTGTGTAGCTGTGAGTTTACTTTATTGCTGTACAATATAGTCAATTGTGGAATAGGCCAAATATATCTATTCTATTGCTGATGAGTACTTGGCTAGTTTCCAGCTTAGGAGTATTACAACTTGTACAGTTACAAACATTTTCATACATGTCTTTTGATGGGCATCTGCATTATTTCTGTAGGGTACTCAGCTATGAGGAAATGTTGGACCAAAGGGAATGTGTATGTTTGACTTTAGTAAATACTGCCAAACAGTTTCCTACAGTAATTACACAAATTTGCATCCCCTCTGCAGTGTATGAAATTTCCATGCCCTTTCCAACACACCCCTCTTCTTCATTGTTACTATTTTGAGGGAGTGTAGAGGAGATTCAAGGAATGTTGTTGTAGACTTCAAGTTATTTATTTTCTTTTAGAGATAGCCATGAAAAGCCAGGCCCTTCTCACCCTAAGCATGAATGAAAAGCAACAGTCTAATAGTTATTGTTGCAGCCAATTGCTACCAAATTTAAAAATGAAAGTACTTGGTTACATCCTTATGCTGCTGGATTAACCAATTTGATCCATTACACTGGTGCCTCAGATCACAAACTTAATTATTTCCACGATTCTGGTCGAAAACCAAATCAATGAGAACCAAATCAAAATTCCCCATATGGTCAACATTGAATCTTATTATCCACACTGGTTTGCTTTGGTTTTTTGTTATCTGGAGCTGAATGCATCTTTAGTGTTATCTTTACAGAGCACTTAAGTCTTGGCATACTCTTGAAGGGCAGTGTTACAGCCTTCATTTGTCTGATGTGGAAAGTGATCACGTCGTGAAATTCAGTGATTCATCCAGAGCCAAGGAGTTCATGGAGGGCTGAGTTAAGATATAGATCCCAGGATTTCAGCTCCTAGCCTACTCTTTTTCCACCTTCCCTTTCCTGGCAGGGAATACAATTTTGTCGTGTCTCATTTTGTGGAAATAACCCGTGAGTCCTCTGGCCACGTAGCTGAAGCTTTTCAGCCATGGCAGATTACATAACTGATATGCACACAGCCCTGCCAGTTGTGTGCAAATGATCCGTTTTCAAAGAATCTCCTTTGAAAAGGTTTTCCTTTGAAAATGGGTCATTAGCAGCTGTGTTCATTACTTGGTCCTGTTATGAGGAAACTGTCAACCATGTGAGGTGAGTGCCTGGTCCTCCAGGCATGACAAAACCAAGGTGGCAAGAAGAGCGGGAATGCTGTAGTAGCAGGATTGCCTTCCAGTGAGGCAAGTGCAGAAGCTGTCACTAACAGCCGGCCTGCCCAGAGGCCCCAGAGCATTTCACTGATCCTGTAAAGGAACAACTCACTGAGATAAAGTATCAATAAAGCATCTGAGGACGGCTCCATGACCTAAAACACTTCCTCACCATGGGAGTTTTTGTGATTCAGCCAAACTGCTCTGTCTGCAAAATAAAATATTAGAAAGCACCTGCAGTCTGCTTGTTCTCAAGGGAGGGAGCAGAATCTGCCCTTTCCAACATGGTGAATTCATCTTCAGGATCCTACTGAACTGATGAGGTTGTTCCAGACCAAAGTTTCTCATGCTTGCTGTAGGACAGGCAGCCAAACTGCTCAGGTCATTCCCCCAGCTTACAAACCTCCAGTGACTTTCCGTTGCAGTTCTCATGAAAGCCACATTCACTGGTCTGACCTTCCAAGCTCTACTGACCTGGTCCTGTCTATCTCCCTGACTACTCCACTCCAGACTTCCTAGTCTTTTGTGTTACTTGAACAGAGCCTGTTTTTGTGGTCTCAGGGACTTTGCCCCTGTTTCTCTTCTGGAACTTTCCTCCCAGCTCATTGTAGCTCCTCATCCTTCAGTTGGAAAACAAATGTCACCTTTTTAAAGAGCCTTTCCTGAACACCTGCTGTGAAGCAGCACCTGCCACTCTGTAGTGTTTCCCAGTTTGTTATCTTGCCAGCACTCATCACAACATGCAATCATCACTTGCGATCTGCAGCCCCCGGGACAGAAGGGACCCTTTCTGAATTGCTCACTCTTATATCCCATCCCCCACATCTAGGACAACAACAGAAACACAGAAGATATTCAACAATTAGTTGAACAGATTGATAAATGAATAAAAGGATGGTCCAATCATAGATTAACCAGATGTGTGGCTTTTTCTCTGCTACCCACATTGAGACCACTTCCCTATCCACTAGCTCCTTTGCCAAAGAAACATGGGGGGTAGGGGGGGGCAGTAGAAGGAAGCTAGTAGGAAAAATTGTATCTTATTTCAACAATATAATCTGAAACCACCCGTGGGCTCATTGACCTGTCTGGTCTCTCAGAAGGCCGCATGAGAGATTGTGGGGCTCATCCACAGGATGTGATCTTGGCGTTTATTTTTTTTAATGAGATTTTTCACTCAGTAATCATGACCATGGCCGTGATATATTGCTGATTAATCCCCTGGGAAGTCATTAGGCTTCTCAAAAGGGTTCACAATAAATGTGATACATTTTCTTCTGAGCACAAATGTATAATTATTAGCACGTGATGGGTGATACAAAAATGACAGCCAACACTTGCCTGCCCCTCGGTCCTTTAAACGAGGTCTTGCTAAATTGCTAAATTATGGAGGCTGGGCTTGAATTTGAGATTCTCCTACCTCGGCCTCTCAGAGTGCTGGGATTACAGGCCACTCTTCAGCATGGTGTAAGGAAATTGTTATTAGCGTCCCCCACTTTGAAAAACCTACTTCAAGCTTCCGGGAGCTTCAGGCCCTGAGCAAGGCAACACTCAAGTCACAGAGCTATTTGGTAAAAATCAATCTAGGTTCCTTGCCTCGTCCAGATAAGAGTCCATTTCTCACACCTGGATGCATTAGGGCACTAGGTCAACGCAGCCATTGGCAGTGGCCGCACTTCCCCACCAGAACAGGGCGGTGCAGAGAGGAAGGGGCGAGAGCCCTGCGGCCAGCCAGCTGCAGGCCCCGAAGCTCTCGCCTGCCCAGCTGCGGGACGGGGAGCCGGAAACCAATATGGCCAGGCCCAAAGCACTGCTCCTCGGGGCGTCCCTAATGGCCTCCCGGCGCATCCTCACCGCGGTGCCACTTGGTCGCGAAACCACGCGCCCCCGCCCCGGGCAGCGCACAGACTCAAGATTTCCGCCAGGGCCCACAGCCTGGGCCCCCAAGGCACAGGGTCGGCGCGCTCGCTCCCAGACGTTAGGGGTGGGGTGGGGGATCGTCGCCCCAAAGCCAGGACGCGAAGGGCGGGAGCCGTGCGGCGTGGGCGGGGAGGGAGAAAGAGGAGGAAGCGGGGGGAGAGGGAGGAGCCAGGCGGACCAAAGCCCGCAGGTCCCTTTCTCCCGAAGTGATGCTATGGGCCCCGGGCGGGGAAACTGGCCCTCGACCCCCAAAGCGCGCGCCGCAGCCTGAGGCCCGGCCAGGCGGGGGGCGCAGCGGCTCCGCGCCCACCTGTAGTAGCGGTCATCCTTGCCCGGCGCCAGGTCCTCCTTCAGCTCGCGGTACGCCTCCTGCAGCCGGCGGCACAGGTGCTTGAGCTCACTGCAGAGCGGGGGCTCGAAGGCAGGGTACTCGGCGTCCATGCCCGCCGCGCTCCGCCTCGCCTTCCTCGCCCCTTCTCCGCTCCCAGCTCCGGGGACCCGGGGCCGCCAGCGCTGGGCGGGACCCGGAGAGGGAGGAGCGGGAGCGGGGGAGGGGCGCGGCGAGTGGGGGTGGGGCGGGCTGGGTCGCGGACCCGCCGCCCGCCGGGGGCTGAGGAGGAGGCAGGACCCGAGGTCATCTGCCGCCCGAGACTAGGAGGAAGCCCTGCCCACGCTGGGGCTGGCGTTGGGCAGGGAAGAACATGGAGTCTCTCGAGAGAAAGAAAGAAAAAGGACTGGAGTCCGCTGGTGTGTTCAGAACCGCGGACAGCTCCCGTGGGTGACCTTGGGTTTTGGGTCCACCCGGCCCAATAAGAACACATTTTGAACTAAGCCTGTTACGCACATGTCGTGATAGTTGTGAGCCTGCGGTGGTGGCTCAGGCCTGTAATCTCAGCACTTGGGAGGCTGAGGCAGGAGGATCACCTGGAGTTGAAGACCAGCCGGGGCTACATACTGCGTTCAAGGCCAGCCTGCCTGAACTACATAGCGAGACTTTGTCTCAAAAACAAACAAACAAAAAAACAAAAACCGAACAAACAAACAAAAAAACCCCACAATGAAATGCAAGGAAAATGTCTTCTTATATGTACTATAGCCATCAAAAAATGTGTGGGCAAAGAAATCTCTCATT